TATTGCAAAAACCTCTCAAAAAAATTTTTTTAAGTTTATAAAACCTTAAATATGCTTCTCCTTAATTGTGTATATGTGAAAAAATTCCCTTTAAATAGAGGTGTCTCAAAACATAGCTTCCATAAAAATCTTTAATTTTTAAAATCACTATCTTTTTTTTAAGGCTTTTGCCAAAGTGAGTGTGCACTTGCCAGAGATAGGTAAACAGAGACAGAGGGAAAGTGAGAAATCAACCCCCAATGGGGATGGCCACACCACAGTATCTTCTCCTCCAATCTCTTCTCAGGATTGGCCACACATGCACACACATGCTCATGTTTTTCAAGCCACTGGGACTCTAACTGCAGTCAGCTATATGGGAGTCCAGTGTCTTTTTTAATTAATTAATTTATTTATTTACTTCAATTTGACCAGAGAGGAACAGAGTGAAAGAGGAAGAGAGACAGAAAGTGAAAAAGCAAGTTGTGAGGTCCCGGACTTGAACCACTGTCAGCCATGTGGGAGTCTAGTGCCCCAACTACCACGCCACCTGCCGGCCCCCAAGGAATCCAGTTTCTTAACCACTACTCTAGCTGGTGGCCCCTGAAAAAAATCTTTTTAAAAGTGCTCTGAAGGTCACCAATGTTGCCCCAATTATTAAAAATACGTAAACTTCTGAGCACATACATCCATCATCAGTTGCCTATAACATAAGTAAGATGATCAAACAAGCATTACATTAATGCACGCACCATGATCCCATAGCATCTTAGGTGTACAGTATTCCTCTTTTCAAGTATCTTTTGCCCTGATTACGTTCTGAACTAATACATTCAGGGGAAAAAATGAGCTGATAAAAGAAAGAGAAGCAAAAAGTCAAAAATAAGCAGACACTGGAGAAAAACTGAGTTGTACCAGTGGCAAACATGAGAGCGGAAGCTCTGAATCTCCCCTGCTCAAGTCCCAGGATCCAGAACAGCGTGTCCCTGATGCCGGAGACCTCTGGAAGCTTCTATTCATCACAGTCACCTGTGTAAATCCCCATTTTCAGAGCCAGTGTGAGTGAAATCAAAATCGCCTACATAAAACACTCCTTAAAGGAACAGTAGTTGTAGTAGTAATAGTAGAAATAATAATAATAACAATTTTTTAAAAATCAACTTTTAAGTCTTTCAGGTTTTCAAGTTTCAAGGGAACATTTCCCTTTGAATTATAAAATCTAAGCATAAGAAAGTATGAGTCACTGCAGGAATGTAATTACAGCAAAGAAAAGCCCTCTGCTCCCGAATTATGCAGCTATTTCAATCAAGCCATTATGTCTGCAAGTATTGCTGGAAAGGGCTCCATGTAATTTAAATCAAAACAGCCCATGCAATTTCGTTTTGTTGGGTTGCAGTACTGTGAAAGTCTGCTAAGTATTATTATTTTAATTAGTGGGGTGAAAAACCTTTTATTTAAAATGTCACTTTTTCCTCTACTGAACCAAAAAATCCTTACTACCACCAAGTATGAACCTCAGAAAAAAATTTTGAAGCTTCCTGTGGAGATAATCAAAACTGCCTTAGGTTCTTTTTCTTAGCTTGTCATTGTTTATCATTACCTAAGTATCTACTTTAATCATGTTAAGTGTAGGAAAATAAAGGGCCTCCATAACAGAAAGAACATTTTATTTTACTGTAAATGAATCAAGCATCAATAGAACTATTACCATGCTAACAGCCTCCTTAATATTAATGTGTGGGTGGTCAGAAGGTGGTATAGTGGTAAAACATGATGCTGTGCAAAGCTGACTCAGATAGGAAAAGGTTCCAGGTTCACTTCTGGAGAACTCTCTGAACATGCCAGGCACACGTGTGCCAATGATCAGGGTTGGATGAGGCTGAGACTGCTGCATCAGGACCCCATTGGAGTCTCAGTCGCTCTGTCTCTCTCACTCATGGAAAAAATAAGTAAACTTTTTGAAAAAAATGCATAGGGGCCAGCAGGTTATGTGATGATTAAGGTGCTTGATCCCACATGGCCTACCATAGTTCTAGTCCCTGACTTGGTGACTTGAAAATCACACCAGGCATATGTGTGTGTGCCCAAAATCCCAAGAAGAAAATGGAGGTAAAAGGACTGTGGCATGCCCATACCCACTAGGGGGTGATTTCTTGTTTTCCCTTTCTGTCATTCTCCTGTGAGCACACACACCCTATGACAAAAACCTAACACACGTGTGCCAATGATCAGGGTTGGATGAGGCTGAGGGACCCCATCGGAGTCTCAGTCGCTCTGTCTCTCTCACTCATGGAAAAAATAAGTAAACTTTTTGAAAAAATGCATAGGGGCCAGCAGGTGATGTGGTGATTAAGGTGCTTGATCCCACATGGCCTACCATAGTTCTAGTCCCTGACTTGGTGACTTGAAAATCACACCAGGCATATGTGTGTGTGCCCAAAATCCCAAGAGGAAAATGAAGGTAAAAGGACTGTGGCATGCCCATACCCACTAGGGGGTATTTCTTGTTTTCCCTTTCTGTTATTCTCCTGTGAGCACACACACACCCTATGACAAAAACCTAAAAAAAATTAAAATATATAAAATATCAATTCTTTGATTAAAAATTCTGATGTTTGAATGTTTCTTTGTGAATTTTTAAAGATTAAAAATAATTGTCAATCAAATTTAAAACCCACATGTTTTCTAAAGGCAGTATAGTTTAAAACAAAACATTGAAATGTATATATTTTCCTGTGCAGGCCTGGAATAAGCAAAACAAATGAAATGTAAACATTTTCAGCCACAATAATTATTATCTTTTGTCTAGAGGGCAACTGTCATAAACCAGAGACAGCTGGTATAGTATAAAGGTTTGGGAACTAAAAAAAAAAAAAAAAATACAAGGGGATTTCAAAAAGTTCATAAAAAAATGGAATTAAATTACAGGTTTATTTTAGTGCCAAAAAAGTAAATCCACACATAGTTTTTAATAATATACATAAGATTTCCTCTTATTTTGATTTTTTCCATCAAAAATAAGCACTGCCATTTACTAGCAGTGTGACCTTGGTCGAGTTATTTAACTTTATGAACATAATTTGCCCATATCTAAAATGAAGATAATAAAAATTGCACCACAAAGTTGGTATTGTATTAAACCAGAACATAGGTGAAATGCTTCCCAAATCCTGGTTTCAATCATCCCATTCTCTATTCACCATTTCCTATCTACTCATCTTCCTCTAGAACTGTCACTTTAAGTCTTGAGGTCATTTAAACCTTTGGCCCTACCTACGACCACTTTACTGACATCCACCACCATCTTGTCCACTTAATCTTGTTTATATTCCATGACCCAAACAGGATAATCACCCCCTTACATGTGCTCTATGCTTCCTTATACCCTCTCTTCTTTACATTGCACTCACTTGGTGGACCTCAACTATGGCAAAACTTCTAATTAATCAAAATCTGACTCCAAGAAACAAACATCCGGTCACAGGTTAAATTTAGAGCACATTATTAACTTAAAAGAAAGGGTAAGACATAGTAAAGCAAAAGCTTATCTGAGCCAAGGATTCAACAACCACCGCATAACACAGATTCTGATTGCCCAGAAATGTGCACACAGAAATGGTGCCAAGAAGACTCATTTATGTAGTAAAAACAAGGGCAAGAAGAAGGAAGGTTACGAGTTGTGTGTCAAGAATTCACTTTGGTCCATTTAAAATCGTACAGGTAAACTGACTGGGTATGCTATTTTTTATATCATGAACTAGACAAACACTTCACTTAAGAAGGGAGGGATTATATCATAACTATTTCAATTCAATTTGTTTACTATAAACTAAAACATGATTTGGGGGCAATAACTCGGATGGGTGTGGGGAGCATAATTTAGAACTCAATGCTCATGCCTCTCCTTGGATAATGGGACCTCACATCCCAGACTGTCCTGAACTACTTTTCTTTCTTTTTCTTTTAAGAGAGATTTTTGCTATAGGGCACATGTGCTCACTGAAGAGACAGAGAGACAGAGAGAGAGAAAT